TCTGCAGGGGTAAAGTAAAAATATATATGTGTTTAATTTAAGATGAAAATAAAATTCAGAAAATGGTGTTACTGGTGCAGGCAGGGCCCATCTAACTGAGTATTTTGTCTCCAACGGTGACCACAGGTGCACACTGCAGAAGTGAGAAAAAGGCAAGCAGATATGATGCTTCCTCCTTAGAATTTCAGTTTCTGACCACTTTCAGGTTAAGGAGTTTTGGGAGCCAGCTATGGCCTATGGTTAGCAAAATCGTCTGTCCCTTCCAGAGACTTGCTCCCCCTGAGCCCCCTGTAAGCTGCTCGCAGCACCGCTGGTCCTTGTGCTTGGTTCTTCTGGGCAATTCCAGGGGACGATTGTCCATGGCAAGAACCACCTACTTTGTTTCCTTTGAACCTGTGTGCCATGGTTCTCTAAACAAAGTAATAGAGGCGCTCTTGTTTAGCTGGTACAAGAGAGGTTTGTTCTTTTCCACATGGTTTGAGTGCTTTGTTTGTATTTCAAAGTCTGAGTCTTTCTGCCTTTTTTGTGTGTGTGTACGGTTGAAGACTGAAAATTTGCCTACACAAGAGAATTGTTCTGATGCACTCAAAAGAATGTGAATTACTTTTTGGAAGTGATATTCGTAATTTTCCAGAGAGACTGCTGGTGAGGAGGCCAAAATCTGCAGAACAACAATGATAGCAAATATTCCAGCTGAGGCAGAAATTTTTATTTATACAATCTAGAAAGACAAAAACCCATGAAACGTCCCAAAGGACCCCCATCACATTTCAGCATGTAACAGCCTCAAGCTCTGATTCAGCTCTATAAGTAGGAGATATTTCAGCATGCTTCTAATACACCTGAGATATGAGAAAAGAAAACAATAGGTTGTCACTCAGTATTCTGATGAGAACATTGATATAAAAATAAAAAAGATATATTTTCCCCTCAATGTTCTGTATATCACCAGCCATTTATTTCCAATTCTATGGAGGGCTGCTGCGAGGATAATTCACAGGCAGCTGCCAGCTATCTGTATGGCAGAGGGTTTTGCACCACTTTCAAGGAAACACCAGTTGAAATAATGGCACCATCTAACAGGTAGCAAGGAAAGTAGGACTTTGCTAATGAGGGTGTATTGATGAACTGCAATTGCATCCCTGGCAAATGATCACTTATATACCATTTTTTGTCCTGAAATTTTAAGAAGTATATTTTCTGTGAAGTTCCATTTCTCATAAGACTTTGTGGTTTGTCTTCTTCCTGACTGTTTTAATGCATACTCAAACCTTTGCATTAGTACTAGTATGTGTGAACAAGCTGTCACATTGAATACTTTAATAATAAAATCTGTCTACTGATCCAGTACTTCCAAACCTACAGCATGAGGAACTTTGAGGGGAAAAAGGCAGAAAAGAGAATCTGTCTAAGTACAGAAAGACACGGAGGTGTACAGACTCTACATGCACAGATGCAGAAAGACACAGATACCAGTGCTGCTATAGGAAGAAGCAAAATATTTCTACCTCCTTCTCACCACTCCAGTAACAGGCAAACTAACGCTCACACGTGTTTAGGTTACCACATCCTACCTTTTTCTAAGTTTTGGGAAATCTTAGGGTATATCATTGCCAAAGTGACTGAATAAAAATAATGATTTTGGTGGGGAATGTGTAATAGGGTCTGGAAAACTTATAGATGTAGTTGACATAAACTCCTAATTAACAGCTATTGGACAAAATGTAGCAAACAGACTTGAGAAAGGGAGCTTCAAAACTAAAATCTATAGATTTCAAAGGGAGAAACAAAGAATGTGTTGTAAAGAGAAAGAAACAGCAAAACCTAACTTTGAAGTTTGACCGAATCCTGAATTTCAGTAGAAACTCATGACTGATATTGATCTCTTTATGGCAAAGGGCTATCCCAGAATTGTTGCCAATGCAAATGTCTCATAAGGTGACTGTGTGGAAATTCATTTGAAGGATAAGACTGGATGAAGCCAATCATTTTTAGACAACATGTTTGCAATGATCAAGTAGCCCTTCCTAAAAGGGGTTCAGAAAGTAGCTACTTGTTCTGATAACTCTCTAGAAAAGGAAGTGGTTGTAATTGTTTTGAAATATAGGGAGAAATTAGGTTGTGAACTTCCTCATAGGCCTCCAGCAGGAAGTGATTCCAGTTTGTTGAATACTTCTCACAAGCAGGAAATAATAAAATAGAGCTACAACTGCCTAAGACACTGGTGAAGGTGTTCTTGGCTTTGACTTTGAGTTAATCTGATGCTGTGCAGAGCCCATAAATCAGAACAGAACAATTCAGACCCTTCTTGTTTAGGGAGGAGACACCTTTTTACTGCTTTTTAATCAAAAAGTCACATAGGCAATAGCAAGCTGACCCAGCAGATGAGTAAAAAGAGAAGGCATTTCATAGACAGCATAAATACCCTTAAGAAACCACTTTGAAAATGGACAAAGGTGCTTGTACTTATAGAGCAGGGATAATATTGATGCAAATATAGATGGGATTAGAGGAGCTGTGTGTGTTTCAGCAGTCATCTGAATTTTTCAGAGAAGAATTCATGCACCATCCAATGGGATCTTGTAGCAGGGATGAACTCTGCAGGATGTTACCCAATATTCATACAGGAGTAAACTTGTTATCGGATGACCCCATAAACCATGCTTTGGAGTCAGGAATTCTGAAAGCTGCTTGCTCGAAAAGCTGGTACTCTGATTAAATAACCACGTATATGCCTGAACACAAACAGCGATAATGCTGACTCCTTGTCCAGACGGCCTGACTCAGAAACAAATTACAAACACTACCCTAAGCAGAAGGGCAAGGCAGGGGCTGCTGCTGGGAATGTGCGCACTCGGGAAGGGCTGGCAGGCATCTCTTCTCCAGTAATCTGCAGAGGAAGCGTGAGTTCCTGTATCACCCACAGGACCTGAATTCAGAGGGAAAAATGGGTGTCGAGGCGACTGAAATCCTCCCAGCAAGAGGATGCTGCTGTTAGGACGGCATGTACAGAAAGTGTCTGGTGAAAGGGATGTGGTCATTGTGAATGTATCCTGGGCATAGTGAAAAATTCTTTACATTTAAAGATGAATACATATATTTACAGATATCCATATATAAAAACATTGCATAAGTGGTGTTCATCCAAAATACAATAGCCAGGAGAGTTACACCTACATACATCAAGGGAAGGTTATGGTGTCAAAGCAGGTTACCTGAGGGCTGCTGTGCACCCACAAGGGACTTTTTCCCTTGTCTCAAGTGCCTGTTCAAAATGTACAAATAATTAGTAGGGTTTGACATAAAATGATTGCTTTACAGACGCAAAGTGATCCCAGCATGATCTCACAGTGTCATGACCAGCAGGCTTTGGCTTTTTCCTGGGGCCTAACGAGGCGATCAGCAGGTGCTGGAAATAGGAGCCTGGGACACGCGCCAGTGTTTCAGTGAATGAATCTTGACCGGAGTCACTCCCAGGAAAGAAACTGGAATCCAAAATGATTCAGCAGGTCTGTGAGATTGTAAGGAACTACAAAATGTACAGACTCCCCCAAACCTGGTGCGATGGGAGTTGTCTAATTCAGGCAGATTCTCCAGTTTCGGTAGTTCTGTTTGTAACACTGCACTAAAGGAAAGGAAATAAATACATTCCGTATTTCTTGATAGAGCACTTAATGAGAGTACAAAATGTTTCTTAGTGCTCCTCATGCTTTGGCATAAGTTAATTAAGACAAGAAAAATCCATTCCTGCTGAAGAGGAATAAGGGATTTGAAACATCTGTGCATGATAGGTAGAAACCAAATGAAAAATCTTTCCATTGTGTTGCATTTCCAATCAAATTTGAAAATAGTCACTTCCAAAATAGGAGTCTGTGAAGGAAGGGCATATGGCAACAGATTATAGGGCATATGGGCTGATTCCATAAGCTTAGAAAAAAAGCACATCTATCCCTGTGCCAGTTACTTGGAGGCGGGCCATGGCCATACCAGTTCAGCCAGGCTGCGCCCAGAAACCTGGGTTTGAAAATTAGGAACGGGACAGATAACGTGTAACGAGTAATTTCTGGTCCGTGGCAAATGCCTGTGTGCACACCTCCCATCAGCAAGACTCGAGTTAATTAGCCTTCTTTTGTTCTTGTGAAATAACAGATATGACACATGCTTACACAGACGTATGGGTGAGCAGTGGGGTGGGGGAACTTTTATTGGGCATCCCTTCTCCGTAGTGAAAACTTGTGGCCGAGGGAATGGCATTTATTAGAAGCAGGGATGTTTAGGACTTGTTCTCTTTGTTCAGTGCATACGGTGCAGTTTCAGGTCCATGCAGCCATGCCTGATGGGCCGTTTTCCTGGGTGTACGAACCACTGGCTGTGTGCCAGGTGTGCAGCTCACATTTCCACGTCCAGGGACCTGTGAGCGCTGGGTGTGCAAGGCGAAGGGACCGAGCTGTGGGATTCCCGAGTGCTGTGTGTTGTACGGGCAGACACAGGTGAAGAGTTGGGCACGGGGGGCTGCTGCAGGAGATGGGGGCTGCGTGGGGGGCGAGGTGGGGGTAATGGGGCCGGGGGGCAGTGCACCCCTGGGGGCTGCAGGAGGGAAAAGGACCGGTGGTGGTGGGATGTCGATGTCGGGGGGGGGTCGTGCAATGGATGAGCAGCGTGTGTAGTGTGAGCAGCGCGTGCAATGTGTGCGGTGTGTGCAGCCAGGCAGCCCCGCAGCAGGTGCCTGCTCCCCCCCGGCGGCCTTCCAGCCTCCCCCCCGCCCCAATCCCGGTGCCGCCCCGCCCCGGGCTCGCTCTGCCCCCGCGGGCGGAGCAGGAGGCGGCGGGGCCCGGGGCCGGGATCCTCCTCCCGCTCCCTACGCCCCGCTCCGACGTCAGGCAGGAGCGGGAGGCAGCGCCCACCGCCGGGGCCGGGGCCAGAGGCTCGGCGGCCGCCGGACGGGGCGGACGGCGGCGGAGAAGAAGGAGGAGGAGGAGGAGGAGGAGGAGGAAGGCGCTATGGCCGACGTGTTCCCGGGCTCCGAGCCCGCCGCGGCCCCGGACGCTGCTCGGCGCTTCGCCCGCAAGGGAGCCCTGAGGCAGAAGAACGTGCACGAGGTGAAGGAGCACAAATTCATCGCGCGCTTCTTCAAGCAGCCCACCTTCTGCAGCCACTGCACCGACTTCATCTGGTGAGGATCCCCCTCTCCTCCCCGACCGCTCTCCGGGGCTCCCGCTGGGGGCGGCCGCCTTCCTCCCCCTCCTTTCTCATCCTCCTCTTCCTCCCTCCCCCGGACTCCCCCGGTGCCGCCGTCCCCGGACAGCGCCGTTCCCTTCCCGGCCGGCTCTGAGCCCCCTCCTGCCACCACCAGCGGGTGCTGGGAGTGGAGCTGAGCCCCCCTGGGGGGGGGGGGGAGCCGGTCCCGGTGTTTGGGGGTGTCCCCCGCCGTGCTCCCTGCCTTCCCCTTGGCACCGCTCCGTGCCCCCCTCCCACCCCGGCATGGGGGGCGCACGGTGCCGCCCCCGCCGTCCTCCGTCCCGAGCAGATTAAAAAAAAAAATAATTAAAAAAACCCTGCAGCCGGAGCGAGGGCGGGGAGGGAGGGAGCAAAACTCTTCCTACAGCCACCCACCTCGCTCAGCCCAGCACCTCCCGGCCGGGCTCTGTGCCCGGGGGGGGTCCCGCTGTCGCCCTGGGGTGACCGCAGCCCGCAGAGGGGCTGGGGGGGCTGCAGCCGGCCGGGGAGGGCGCCCCGCGTGTGCTCATGCGCCTGGGCACAGCCCTGTGCCTGCCCTCTGGAGTTCCCTTCCCTCTGCACGCCCAGGGAAAGGCTGTGCCTGCTCCTGAAACGCTTCAAAGGGGTTTGAGGAGTAAGGGGGGAGAGGAAGGACGGGGAGCTTGGAGAAGAAACAAGGGGGAAACGGGACGACTTCTTTGCTTTTTTCTCTTATTTATTTATTTATTTATTCCTTATTTGGAGGAAAAAATAAAAAAAAAGCAAAGTTCAGCGTTGTAAAAGTTAGACACCTCAGGGAAGTGCCTCAAAATGAATCCGAAGCAGGCTGAGCTGCAGGTGTGGGAACGCGGCGGGCTCCTTGTCCGCGGCGACAAGTGGCACAATAAAAAACAAAGCCAAGGGCTGCGGTGAGAAAAGGCACCTGACAACAGGATGGGTTTGAAAGTGAAAGGATATCCTGTTGCTGACAGGTGGCAAGAGGAGCTGCGCTCTAGCCCTTTCCTGCTAGCGAGGCTAGGAAGCTCCGAGCATTCATCAAAGGAGCATGTGACAGCTCTGAAACTTGTGTCGGTTCCTCGGCTGAAGATAGGCAGGTCTTGAATAAGTGCCATGCACCGTGAAAAATGCTTCATCTATTTCCAGAGCGACACGTGGCTATTAACATATGCTTTAAGGTATAAAGAATAGTAAAAACAGCCTTTCAATGAGCTGTGCAGAGAGACTTTTTCCTTAGATTACACTTGACCACGTAACATTTACTGAAATAATTCCGTGCCTCTCTGTCTTCTTAAACTGCCTGATTGGTTTCTGAAGTGCTGCTGTATTTCCCAAACCTTTTCCTTAAAACGTGTTGCTCCTGCCCAGGGAGAGGGGTACTGCTCCCCGCTGACCTGGGGATGTTCAGCTCAGGCACAAAGGCTGGCGGGACTGTTGGAGCAGATACCGTAGCGATGCCCTTTACAACAGAGACCGTCTAAAAAGACAAAACAAACAAAAAACAACCTAAAGCCTGTTTCGTGTTCTTAGTTCTGTTGTCCCACAATTGCGTTTGCACCCTTGCCTGTTACTTGTGTGAAGAGAAGTGATAATAGCAACAGAGTGACATTAGAGTTGCAGGCTGCCAAGTTAGCATGCAACGTTGTATTTCTTCTGGGTTTCTTAGTTTAGGCCTATCTATAACAACACCTGGGAGTTTTTTCAGTAGAAATCTAGAAGATATGGGAAGTTGTATAGTGTCCCTTTCCACCTGATGTAACAGTGTTCTAAAGAGTTTCTCAGTTCTCTAAATAAATTAATAAAAAAGTGGGAAAATGGATACACTTCCTAAAAATCACTTCTACAAAGTTCCTAATTAGACTGCGTGTTAAGTGCCAGCAGCCTCCTTCCTGGCTCCTGCAGTGCCTGCCTCTGGTGGGTTTCTCTCTTGGCGTAAGCAGCTCCGGCTCTCCAGATGAGAAACATCCTACAAAGAGGGAAAACGCAGAGAAATGTTTATAGATCAGATACTCCAAACATTTATTTTTGTGGAAAGAGAATGTTGAATGTTTAAAGGTAAACAAATAAATACAAGCAACAATGGGGCAATTTGCTGCAGGTGTTGTAACTCTGGAGAGCATTTTGGACACGTGTGTGTGGCTGTATTCACTGGGGAAGGACTGCGTGTGCGTTTGTTAGGAAAATGAAGGAAGTAAGCTGGAAGAATAACCAGTATGAAACCAGTGGGTCTGTTGTCTTGCTTATATTGAAACAAGCAACCTCTTTAACCTGCCTCCTTTCCGTACAACAGGCTGAGGCACTGGTGTGCATCGCTAAAATTGGGAAACTGTCGCGTTTGTTTCCTAGGTCTTCTCTGGAACTTGGGTTAATTTTATATTGCTGTTAAGTATAGATCTGGCATTAAGTGAGTTGCAATATTATGCCGTAATCCCAGATGATAATAATTGTAGATCCAAAATAGCTTGTGAAATAATAATAATAATAAATTGTTGCCAGAAGCTGGAATTACGTAGCTGGTGACAGCTATTGTTCTCTGCTTTGCAACGGGTGGGCTGTTCTGTGGTGTACATTTTAAAATCTGTTGCTGTTGTAGAAAAATCTGTAGTAATTTAATAAGAAACTATTTTTGTGTTGTTATAGATCAGTGAAAGGAAATATTAACTAAACATACTAAGACAGGTGTTTTTTTATTTTCTTTTTCTATGCAGGGGATTTGGGAAACAAGGATTTCAGTGCCAAGGTAAGCCACAAACGCTTTGTTGGCTAGTACGCTTTGTTGCCTCTTACTCTGAAGGTAGCCAAAACTTGCCTTCAGCAGGAAGGAAACAAGCCTGGAAAATATAAGCAGGCATCTTTGCCTGTGTAAATTTTAAAGGAAGACAATTATTCAGTTAAATAACTATTGGTATTTATATTGTATACAGTGAACAATCAAGTCATTGTGATAATGCAAATAAAAAGATGTTATCTTTCTTAAATCTCTTCACAGTAAATGTCATATCATCTGCATATAGTGCAACTTCAAACTTTTCATGAAAATAATCTGTGCAATTTAGCTTTTGCAGAGACCATTTTTCACATCAGAAGCTCTTGTCTGTGTGGGCGTCTTGGAAAATGGATTCACTTTTTAGTCATATGGCTTCCTTTCATAACCCAAAGTCCCTGTTTTTAATTTTCATACGTTGTATGTTTAGGAGGACCTTTGATTTGAATTACATTTTAGGACAGGCAGCATTTTTCTCTGATAATGTAATATTCAATTAAAAAAAAAATACAAAGCCACCAAAAAACACACCAATTTAATAAATTCTGCTAACCTTGAGAAACTGAAAACTGATACAGTAGAAGATAACTCTATGCATGCAAACCAGAACATGAACTACTATATTCTCACATATTCTGTGCTACTGCCAAATTCTTATCATTATTCAGCATTTAATTGTAAAATAACCACACCCAACTATTGTTCTTCCTTTTCTATGTCACATGCGTACTGATGAGGCTTTTTGCTGTCCCTTCTCTTCCCCCACCTTCTCTTTCTTCCCTCCCACTTCTCCTGCAGGTGTACCTTGTGTATGCATTAGCTCACCTTTTGCTTGTTTCCTTCATTACATGTTTTAATGGTCACTTGCTAATGCTTTAGAGTGTATTTGACTATCCTGAATGTTGTGTTTACTTATTAGTTGGTGAAATTACGGATTCTGTGGTATTTTTGTGAAAATTGATGTTAGTTAGTACTTCCTGAAGTTAAGCCTTTGTGAAACTGAATGTAGATGAGATGCCTTTCAAAGATGTTGCAATATATTTTTCTTTCTTCAAGTAGAGACTTGCAGAGTGACTGTGGGGCATGGCTAATACATACAGTGAAAATGCTGCGTGCCTTGTTAAGGCATGGTAGGAATGCAACCACAGTTTTACCACGAATCTTGCACGCAATTTTGTCCCTGTTCCAAGATCTTACTATGAAATTCTGTGAATATCCTCCAGTTTTCTGTTACTTACCACTTCAGAGCAGTGCTATATGGGTCAGTCTCTGGTCCTCCGTTATAATGGAGTTGCATTTCCTGCTGAATCCCGTTCAGGATGGCTGAGTGGTTTCTGGCTAAGGAATTATTTAGATGTTCATTAGAGATTTCCGTTGGTATATAGAAAAATGGAACTGCGCTTAAATTACATAGTTACCTTTCTTATGATTTGTAATTCGCACAGTGCTGACTTTCTTTCCTCTTCTCATCAGGCAGCTAGTGCCTCATGGTGGGTGCAGTCCCCTGCCAGATTTAGTGTGGCAATTTCTTTCCAGAATTTGGTTCTCTGTGGTTAAATTCCTTCCATCATTGTAACTGTAGCAATGGAGGAATAGTTTTTTTTCTGATAAGAACTAATCTTTGTGAAGCTAGCTAAAAATTTTAGTTGTCCCATCTTCCCTTCAAATGCCATACACAAACATAAGCAGGAATGAAAGCAATAGAGCTGCCTTATTTTTTTTTAATGAATTACTATAATTTTCAGTGCTTCAGAAGTGATGCTTTTCAGCGAACTAAATAAGTTCTAACCTGACTTCTGTCTTTGAGAGTAACCTTCTGCAGTTTCTCTTTAATAGGGAGTGTTGCACTCCAGTGTTTTTTTTTCTGTATTCTTACACAGTCAAAATCTATCAGAAATATGGCTGGTTTAAATTCCAATTTTTATGATAATTTGTGGCAAGTTATTGGTGTTGCACTGATAAGTTCAGCAAATGTTTTAACTCATAAGTTCAGGAAGTGGTGGTTTGGGTTCTTTTGTTTGTTTTTCTGAAATTCTCATTCATTATACTTGATTATAATCAAAGAGCATTTGTGCTCTTGGGATGATAGTCTTGAAAATTAAACAAAATAAAACTTCCAGGATGGACAGCTGAATCAAACTTTCTCTTCAGTTTTCTGGAGCTTCAGTTAGCAAGTCGCCAGCTAAAGCTGAAAGGACAAATGTAACGATAGAAGTCAGTGAGCATGCGAAGAATTAAATAAACCTGTGTGAAACTAGAAGGTAGGTTGCAAAACAAACAAACAAAAATAGCTTTTTATTTTGCTACCTTTATAGAAAAGAATGGCAAATGAAGAACATAATGGAAATTTCAGTATGACATGAGGGAAAGGAAAAAAATATTACAGTGACAGCTCATGGTATAGCTGAAGTCCTTGGTTTGTCAGAGTTTCCACTGCAAGAAGCTGTTCTAGCTCTGTTTTCAAGACTGTTGTTAAATCTCCCGCTAGACAGAAACCTGACACCAGGCAGGTTTCAGAGGTGGGTGGTTTTATTATTTCCAAAGTTGCTTTACCTTCCTCTGCCTTTGTTACCAAAGGGAGGAGGAAAGGTCTGTAATTATAATGTCCTGAAATTAAGTGATACTCGACTCTTCTAGAACAGAGTAGTTCAGTTGGAAGGGACCTACGGGGATTGCAGGGAGCAGTGGGGCCTCCTCTCAGCCTCCTGGCCTCCAGCCCAGACAAGCCGAGAGCCCTCGGCCTCTCCTCTCAGGACGTGCCTTCCAGCCCCTCACTGGCTTCATCGTCCTCCTCTGGATGCATCCAAGCATCTCCAAATCCTTTTTGTACCCACACTGTGCTTGAGGGGAGGCCGCACCATACTCTTAAGAAACTTCAGTTATTTTATAAATATTTGTGCCAGCAGTTCATGATTTGAAACTCCTAACTTAGTGCTTATGCATTATTAAATATTGTAGCTAACATGGTATGCTTTTAGATATTTTAAAACTTTATTTAAAAAAAAAGTCAAATGCATTTCACATGTTATTTTGAAACCACACCCTCAAAATAAAATGACTTTATACATACATATATATATATATATATATAAAAGTTGAAATTTAGTGTTTTACCTTAATGATATTTTTTTTTTAGCCATTAATACTTTTTCATTTGGGCTTGCTTTGAGCCTTGGAACCTGCTTTCAGTTTTATGTAATCCTTTTATATTTTCTGATTTCCATGCCTGTATTTCTGATGTAGCATTCAGCTTCAGCATTAAGCAAGAACCTTTAAATGCGTCCTTTGGAGTCAAAGAGAAAAATTTCCATTTATTATGTTAAAAAGCTTTGCAAAACTTTTTTTTTTGTATATTTTATTATTACGGGATCCCCATAAATTAGCAAAGGACAGCGAATTCAATTTTGGTATGGCTTTTAATGCCCTTAATGTAGCAGAGGTTCAGGATACAATTGCATTATTACCATGCAATTGCTTAGCAAGAGACAGTCCAGGTCCTAAGTAGTTTTCCTTCCTTAATGTGAGTTTTCTAATGTAACTACTGTATATAACAGCAAATAGACATTCAGAGTTGCTACTTGGATGTACAACTAAGTTGCAGTATGTTATTTCATGGGGAGGCTGCAGAATTCTGTTGCATTTTGATATGATAGGAAATTTGTCACAGAGAGGGCTTGGAGTCAAGAAGTATCGGTGGAGAAGTTCAGAGCCCATCTCTGGTAAGGTGTGAATTCAAAAATGAGCTTGAAAGAGCTGGATTAACTTTTTCCTAGGTATAATTTTCTTCCTTACTCCTATTTGTAGGATGCATTCTGCTGTTGTTGCTGGTTGTTGAAATTTGTGCTTTACTGTCTGTTTACACAAACATAAACTGTTCTAAAATACTGTGCTTTTGAAACAAGAGCTCGTGTTCTGCTGGTTTGTTTTTCTGTTGGTTTGTTTTTCTGTTGATTGTCTTTGTGGTAGTGAAAACATGAAGGTAAGATTCTTTGAGAGAGTTATGGCTTTGTTTGGATTTCTTAAGTTGTCAAGCAAAACAGCAAGCTGTCAGGGGCACTGAAAGCTTTCTTCTAACGTGCACCTGGAAACACTGCAAGGGAAATGTGAAAAATGGAATCATCGAAAACGTTTTTCTGAGTCTGCCACAGTACGAACGTTCCTCTTGTAAGAAATCAGACTTTAAATTAAACAAGCTTTTAAGTTAAATTTTGGCTTCATTTTAGTTTCAATATTCATTGTTACATTCTGAGTAGAGTCTATATTTGTTCTTTTTGGTTTGATTTCTAAGAATATTTTGTGGGTTTTTTGGTTTTGCTTTTGTATTGTTTTTGTATCTTTTTTTTTTTTCAGTGAGCAGAGCACAGCTAATAATGATTCACTAGGATTTGAAGAAGATATGTGGACAAACATGTATTCACATATGTTCTGAGGCTGATTTAAGTTTGGAACTGAAGGCCCAGCAAGTTCCTTGAGATGAAAATATATTTAGTTGCACTAATACAAATGTAATGAACTCCTGCTCCTGCTCAAGGGCCTGCTGTTAATCCTCTCCCAAACATTCAAGATTTGTAGTCATTAACTGCACAATTTCCCTCTCTCATGTGATTTCTGCAGCATCTACTGCAGTGCAGTATTCTGCTGTAGTCCAGCTCGGAAGTACATTTGGCTTGAGGATAATAATTGGCTAAGGAAGAGTTTCACATGCATTTTCTAATTTATGTAAATAGAAATTAGAGAAATCAGTTGAAGCAGCTGATTATATTTAGCTAATCTGCGTAACTATTGCTCTTTCCAATTTTGTTCTCTTAATTCTTTCTATTTATTTTCAGAATATCTCTTTATGAAAGTTGGATTTTAACTGAAGTAGCCATGGCAAGCTTTTTGAGACAGCTTGTATCATGCTAGGTGCATTTCCTCATGTAACTGGTGCTGGGCTAGTTAAACATCCATCGTAACTACTTCAATAGAGATAGAAA